TTTACCCTTTTCTTTAATTTACGAAAATATTTTACATTATCTTATTTTGCTATTACTATTGTTTATAACATTATAGTAATTATAATGTTTATATTAAAAATAACACCATCGATATTCATAGCACTAGTAAAAGATACATTTTCCCTTTTTTGCAATTTCCAAAAAAGGTTTATGACAAGGACATATTGTTACCTATGCCAATTAAGTTTCAACAAGGTTCATGTGCAGAGTTGAATATGAGTTAAGGAGAACTGAAACTTGTACCTTCAAAGTGTCAAAAAGGAAAAAGAAATTGAATTACACACTCAAAAATAATAATGCTCACAAGTTTGACATATTACAAGAAATTAAGCTTCTAGAAAATGATAAGATATTACCATCTTATATTACTAAAACAGCTAATCACATATGAATATAACTAAAATGATAGTTGATAAGATATTCATTTTAGACCTTTATGGTCACTCGATGATTTTAAACAAAATTCTCACTGACCAACCAGGCAACCTAGGCCACACTTTTAGATAATAATATGATAAGAGGTATGAATTGGACATATCCATTGACAGCAGCAGAATAGACTATAACTCTATGACCTTTTATAGTATAGCATGATTATTTAAAGGATATCAAGTGGAGCCTGAGGCAAAATTTAAGAGTTTAAGTTTTTTCCTGTTTTCCTGTATTATTATTATTATTATTATTATTATCATCATTATTATCATCATCATCATCATCATCATCATCATCATCATCATCATTATTATTTATTTATTTTTTTATTTATTTTTTTAATTAATTTATTTTTTTATTATTATTCTTTTTTTTTGAGCTGTTATCAAAGTAGCATAACATTTTATCAGTTGTTAAAGTGCACCACTTGAATCTAACTTCAGATGGTTGGCCTTTCCTGACTTGCCCTTTGCTCACTTCCTGCCACCTCATTCATGGTGTAGCAAAATATTTGGGCAGTTGTCCTTCCCTGAATGTAGAAATGTTCTGGGACATAAGTAGTAACATGTCATCATTTTCTTTTTATTTTAAAACAGTCTCTAATTAATTGTAATAACCTTTTTTTAATGGGCAGACTATCAATTTTCAAGTACATCATACTGGTGTTTTTATTGCACAACTTATAGCACACTATATGCAGCAGGGAGTATCCTCTCTAAATTACATTTTCAAACAAATCTAAAACAATTATTATATAAAGCAATTGATCAGGACTGTTTCCAAGTACATGTATTTGGACTTGGACTTAAGTACAGATTTTTATGTACTTGGGCTTGGTGTTTAAAAAATCAAAGTTACTTTTACTTATACTTAGACCCAATGTACTTGAAAAATACATCCAAGTATAAACAAGTACATTGTTTTTAATAAAAAGTTAAATTCTGTATATAGATTTTAGTGAACTTTGTGATAATACTATTGGGTAAATAAGTTTGTTAAGTGTTACAATATTGTGTCTAAGACAGAATAAAGGAGCATAATCATATAGTAGTTTCTCATTTGGTAACATGCTACAGTAGACTTCCATTCTTTACGAATCTGTAAAAGCAATTTTTTCATCACATAAAATACTTGTACTTAAGTATAATAACATGCACTTGGACTCAGACTGAAGTACATAGCAAAGTGCTTGTACTTGTACTTGTGCTTGAAAAATATCCAGGTTGCATGTATTTGGACCCAACCCTACATTTATTACTTGATGCATATGTTGACAGTATCCTCAAGCACACACAAGTTAACTCACAAATTTCCATTTCTCAGTTAACTATTGGTCATTAAATATCTACAATTAATCCTAGGCACTACAATGGGTGTTTCAGGCTACTCGTGTCATTTAAGAATTAATTAGTTTGAATGATATTCTTATAGATTCAAAACCCCATAGATGATGACTCTATTTTCACTATTGTAAGATTGTGTATGGAAGAGCGTATCTTGTGTTAATTCTTTTATATTCCTTTTTTTTTGTTTTGTTTTTTGTACCTTTTTTTCATTTATGACACTGGTTCTCACCTCTAGATTTGCTGAGGATTTGTATTTGGGTCTATGAAAAGGGGATTCCCAATGCAGACAGCACAGCAATCATTGGAGTGGTGGAGGGCATAGTGAAGTGCTGCTGTAGAACAATTGGCAGCCACACCCCCATGGTCGTCCTGCGACCAGTTCCGTGCTTCCTTAGGAGGAGTCTTACCAACAGCAAGCTCTCATCCCAATATGTATTGCAGACCAGCTTTCTCAGCCTACTCCTGACTTTCACAAAGGCGGTGGGTTTGCAGTGGTTATGCTTGGCGGGGATTTTGTGTGATTACTTGGGTTTAAGTGTGACAGTGTGTGTTATTGTGTGTATTTATGTATGATTATACAGTTGTTTGTGCATGTGTGAAAATGAAGTTCATGTGTGTCTGTATTTATGAGTATGTCCATGTTTTTTATCTTTTTCCCAATCTGCTCACATTTCACAACAGATGGCAGGCGAGTGGCGTCAACTGGTGTGTAGTATTGGCGAGGAAACTTTCAACCATGTCCTGGCCATGTGGGACAGCAGGCCATCTCTGCGCCAGTCACAGCTCCTTGAGTACTTGAACTTGTTGATCCTTGTTCATGATCCACAGGAAGGTAGGTGGTAATGCTTGATGGTAGTCTTTTTTTGCCTCTTTCTCTCCTGCTTTTTTTCCCTTTCTTTTCTTTTTCTTTTTTCTTTCATTGTGAAATTTTCTTCTAAATACCCTTTCGTGTGAGTTTTGATTTGTTAGTTTATTTTCTAATTTTTATCCTTCCATCACCACCCCAGAAGGGACCCACAAGGAGGGCAGCATAAGCACGGACCCCATCACTTGGCAGCGTTGCTTGCACCGCCTCTATCAGCTTATCCACGACCACCTAAGTCAGCTGAGTACCAAGAACAAGCTATCTGGGGTTTCTGGTAGTGTGAGTGCAGAACAGCAGACTATACCACAGAATCTGGTGGTGTTATCTGCCAGGCTGTGCAGCAAGGTAAATGTCTCTATAATGTTATTGTATGTGTTTGTAGTGACCTTTCTACAGTAGCATGTGTTCTAAGTAGAGTAGGGTAGTTTCTAGATAAATTAGCCCATTGTGGATGAATATCACCACATAGGTACCACTAGAAATTTTGGCCTTAGGATGGCTTTCAAGTACATATTGTGTAAGTTTAGTTGTCTATATCAACAGATGACATGACCAATCAAGTAAGACTAGCAGCAGAGCCATCTATTAGGTAAAAAAAATAACAAACAGTCAGTCTGTAGTCAGTCATCATGGCAGAAATACATGCCAAATGTTGTGGGCCAATCAAGTAAGACTTAGCTGCAGAGCCATCTATTAGGTAAAAAAAATAATTAACAGTCAGTCTGTAGTCACTCATCATGGCAGAAATACATGCCAAACGTTGTGGGGCTCCTAGAAGCCATGGCAAGATTAGATGCCAAACGTGTTGGGGTCCATTAACCGCATGACAAGATCAGATGCCAAACGTGGTGAATGGGTTAATGGCTTATATTTCCTTTATCTTTTTTCACCAATTGGAAGATGAAAGTAAAAACAGAGGAAGATCCTCATTTATATGTATTAATTTTATCTTACATTTTCTATATTATCTGAAGACGGTCCTGGTGTAAGCCATATGCTTGTTTGTTATTTATGCCTTCAGTGGCATGACAAAAAGCTTGTGACATTACTGTCATAGGTCCAAAGGTCCAAGGTGGTTTGCAAAATGTCTGTTTATAGGTTTGAGAAGATCAGAGATGGACACTGAATGAGTTTGATGCTAATGTCAACCAATGCATCTGTACTGCCAAAGTAGCACAAAAAAAATCAACTTAAAAAATACAGGCATTGCCTCTTGCACATCTTGAAGAATCAGGGGAGGTAATCAAGGTCATCTTACTTTTGCTGTAACATAAAAAACTGTAAAACCTCTGGAGGATGAGACAAAAACATGTGAAAGAAATATCACAGTCCATGTGACCACTTCTGAGCCACATTGCATTTACAAGGTACGATGGATTAGTTGAGTTCTGCTTTTGAGGTAGTTCTCAAAGACTAGTGTCTCAAAGATATGCTGTAGTAATAGGGTCCTTGGTAACTGGAATTTTTATGGACTACATAAATATTCACAACTGCCTTAGAGCAAGTAACTGCAAAGGGTCTGAATCTTATGCAAACTCCCCTGAATTGAAACTGTTTATGGTAGGTTGGTGAGGCAACATCTCAGGCCCCCTCCATAATGGCCTCAATAGCCTACATGTGTTCAGATTTGCATGAACAAGCCTGTATGATGTCCTAGAGGAAAGAGAAAGGAAGAAGAATTTAGTATAAATAAATCTAATCGTGATACTCAGCCTCATACTTTCCCCCCCTATCCCCATCCCACTGATGATAAGATAATCTATGATTCCGTTTTACTCTAGATTTTCCAAGACACTGCAAATTATGGTGTTCTGGACATCACTCAATCAAGCAGCACCCAAACAAATGCCGATGTGAGTGTGACACAGGCTGGAAAAGCCAACAAGAGGAGGAGGATTGAAGTTGGTCTACAACCTTTAGCCTCCAAGCTAAGGGAAGAAGGAACTCATCCACACATAATTCCTTGGTAGGTAGCAGTGAAGAATTGGTTGGTTTAGGAAGGTTTTTTTTGCTTTGCATTCTGTTCATGTAAGAAGTAGTGTTGTTCTTACTGTTGTATGTGATGGAAGTGTATATAGTAGCAAATCAACCTCCAGAATTTAGGTGATCTGTTCACCCAGAACACTAAAGATTGCTTATATTTAAAAGTAATGCTTTCTTTTTCTTTACTTTTCTTTTTTAAGTCTCATTGTCTTTATTCTCTTAAATGGGATGTTAGTATACACAAAAATGCTTTTTCCTGTCTTCAAATCATGTAAAACCTGAACTATGCTGGCTAGTGGTTCTGATGCAAGTTGGTTATCTTTGACCTTCATTTTATTCCATCCTTCAGGTACCAAATTCTCTTGGAGTTGCTGAAATCATACTCAGGCATATTTGATCCTGAAAGGTGCTTGCTGATGTTGGATATGTTCACCTGTACCCTGGGAGAGAGCAGGGTGGCATTTGTACAAGAACACATCATACAGTATGCATTTGTTTTACAATTTGGTTTTCAATGAAAGATTTATAGATACATAAAGGAGGAGAGACACTCAGATAATTTTAGTTAATTTGCCATATAACTGTAGTTGCTAGAGAATATTCTTTTATCTAAGTACAGTCAATATCATTAGAAATAGAACACTTGTAAAACCATAATACTCTTATGATAATAATTGAATTATTGTTTTTCATTTAGTCTTATTATCATTGTTACTTTTTCCTTGTTTATTATATATTCATTGTTTTTTATCTTTATTTTCTTTTCCTGTAAAAAATGGATTTTACTGATAGCAATATTCCCCAATAGGTGTCTAGGAGCTCTTGCGTTGCAGTACAAGCAAGTTTTCCCCGAGAGAAGTGCTCACAAACAGATGAGGAGTGGCAAGTGGTCCCCTGTTTGGTGTGTGTGTGTGTGGTGTGTGTGTGTGTGTGTGTGTGTGTGGTGTGTGTGTGTGTGGTGTGTGTGTGTGTGTGTGTGTGTGGTGTGTGTGTGTGTGTGGTGTGTGTGTGTGTGTGGTGTGTGTGTGTGTGGTGTGTGTGTGTGTGTGGTGTGTGTGTGTGTGGTGTGTGTGTGTGTGTGTGTGTGTGTGGTGTGTGTGTGTGTGGTGTGTGTGTGTGTGTGTGTGTGTGTGGTGTGTGTGTGTGTGGTGTGTGTGTGTGTGGTGTGTGTGTGTGTGTGTGGTGTGTGTGTGTGTGTGGTGTGTGTGTGTGTGGTGTGTGTGTGTGTGTGTGTGTGTGTGTGGTGTGTGTGTGTGTGGTGTGTGTGTGTGTGTGTGTGTGTGTGTGTGGTGTGTGTGTGTGTGGTGTGTGTGTGTGTGTGGTGTGTGTGTGTGTGGTGTGTGTGTGTGTGGTGTGTGTGTGTGTGTGTGTGTGGTGTGTGTGTGTGTGTGTGTGTGTGTGGTGTGTGTGTGTGTGTGGTGTGTGTGTGTGTGTGTGGTGTGTGTGTGTGTGTGTGTGGTGTGTGTGTGTGTGTGTGTGTGGTGTGTGTGTGTGTGGTGTGTGTGTGTGTGTGTGTGTGTGGTGTGTGTGTGTGTGTGTGTGGTGTGTGTGTGTGTGTGTGGTGTGTGTGTGTGTGTGTGGTGTGTGTGTGTGTGTGGTGTGTGTGTGTGTGTGTGTGGTGTGTGTGTGTGTGTGTGGTGTGTGTGTGTGTGTGGTGTGTGTGTGTGTGGTGTGTGTGTGTGTGGTGTGTGTGTGTGTGTGTGGTGTGTGTGTGTGTGGTGTGTGTGTGTGTGTGTGTGGTGTGTGTGTGTGTGTGGTGTGTGTGTGTGTGGTGTGTGTGTGTGTGTGTGTGGTGTGTGTGTGTGTGTGTGTGTGTGTGTGTGGTGTGTGTGTGTGTGTGTGGTGTGTGTGTGTGTGTGTGGTGTGTGTGTGTGTGGTGTGTGTGTGTGTGGTGTGTGTGTGTGTGTGTGTGTGTGGTGTGTGTGTGTGTGTGGTGTGTGTGTGTGTGTGTGGTGTGTGTGTGTGTGGTGTGTGTGTGTGTGGTGTGTGTGTGTGTGTGTGGTGTGTGTGTGTGTGGTGTGTGTGTGTGTGTGTGGTGTGTGTGTGTGTGTGTGTGTGTGTGGTGTGTGTGTGTGTGTGTGGTGTGTGTGTGTGTGGTGTGTGTGTGTGTGGTGTGTGTGTGTGTGTGTGGTGTGTGTGTGTGTGGTGTGTGTGTGTGTGTGGTGTGTGTGTGTGTGGTGTGTGTGTGTGTGTGTGTGTGTGTGTGTGTGTGGTGTGTGTGTGTGTGTGGTGTGTGTGTGTGTGTGTGTGTGTGGTGTGTGTGTGTGTGTGTGTGTGTGTGGTGTGTGTGTGTGTGGTGTGTGTGTGTGTGTGTGTGTGGTGTGTATGTGTGTGTGTGTGTGTGTGTGTGTGTGTGTGTGTGTGTGTGTGTGTGTGTGTGTGTGTTTATACATATACTATATATTTATATTAATATATTTATATACATCCCTTTCCCCTTCTCTCTCCTTTATTTCATCATCCCTCTTTCCAACCCTCTATTTCTCCCTTCTCCTCTCTCTCCCTTCCTGTTTCCCCTATTCACTTCACACTCGCCTCTCTGCCCGCCCGCCTCTCCGTTCTCTTGCTCTGCAAAAATCAGAAAAAGAAGCAGCGGCGCACAAACAGGCCAGCACTTAACCCATTTGCCACATGTGGCAAGAATAGATGCCATACCCACTTTGATACACGTTTATTTATTGTATTTACACATAGATGGCTCTACAAGTTCTTAATCACCAAATAGCCAGTTATCAAGAACTACCTATTTTACCTGTTTACCCTTTTCCTTCACTTTAGGAGAGGGTTTTTTTTGTATCATTTCATTGTCAAAAATATTCTAATGACAATTCAATAATCATAACATCAATAACTATAATAACAATATCGAAAGCAAGGATATAATTTTTCCCGCCAATCCAATGAATGGGATAATCAGGGCCGGTAACTAGGGCCTACTGATAGACTCCTTGCCAGCTGAGTACATGTGGAGCCATCTGTATGTAACAAAATTCACCAGAAACTACAGGGGACAGAACATAAATCCGTGGCGAGTGGGTTAAGACAAAGGCTTTGGTTTTTCCGTCTAATGTTAGCTCTTTGTAATATGCGGTCAGTGATTTCACGGCTAATGGTAAATCTCGAAAGAACTTGAGATTTCTCAAACATAATTTTGGCGTACGTGTACGAGAGAGTGAAGATGGGATGTATTTAGGAGAAATAATACTTTTTGTTTTTTCTTTGTCTGTGTGTGTGTGTGTGTGTGTGTGTGTGTGTGTGTGTGTGTGTGTGTGTGTGTGTGTGTGTGTGTGTGTGTGTGTGTGTGTGTGAGATTAAATGCATATATGTAATATTTCAAAAAGGAATATTAGTTTTATATATACAAAACAAAAAAAATATTTTGAAATGGGATCAAAATATTTTCCCTATTGAAAATAAGAATTTGGATTATCTTGCCAATAGCTTGGTACAAAGTACATTAAATGATTTTTTTTTATAGATATAGACTATAATCATATCTCATGAAAAAAATGATATAAAAAAGTAACTTTGAACAGTGTCAAAAATACATAAATGTAATTTCAGCAGAGATACATGCAGACAAGTTTCATTTTCTGTGACCGATACTTTTTATAGTAGCACATAAAAAATAGGAAATAAAATAACTGTAATTACTGAAACCTGCAGGCCTATTAATCTGAAAATATTCCCCAGACTGGTTAGTGGAAAGCAGTGCATTAAAAATGGCTTAGAGCTTCTCCAAATTCTGATGAAGACAGGCCTTGTGGCTCCTGACCTCTCAATCTTCAAGTTGTTCTATCAGGTGAAGTATAAATCACACCTCTAGTTTTAAGATGAACATTTTCTTCAACCAGGCATCTTGAGAATTATTTATATGCCTCAAGAAGATGATTATACTAGTAATTTTAGTCTGATAATCTGTATCCAAAGTTATAATTAGGATTTCCAAACATATAATTTGCAATTTCATCTCCTGTTTTCATTTTTGTCTTTTCTTCCTCTTCTCATTTTCTCACACCTCTTCCTCCTCCTTTGCCCTTTTCTCATTCTCATGCTCAGCATCCCATTCCTGGCTGCTAGGACTTGAGCACAGGCACACACACACACACACACACACACACACACACACACACACACACACACACACACACACACACACACACACACACACACACACACACACACACACACATAGAGGTAACAGATGTAATTTATTGTTATTCTTCTTGCACTGAGTTAGGGACAACCTAGAGAGATGATATGGAGTTTGGAAAATAGCAGTGTGGCCATTCACATAAGCCTAATGCCTGTATTTTAGGCCATGTCATTTTTGTGAAGCAAACGGATCTAATGGGTTGAACCTGCCTCTTTTACTTTTTTTCCCCTCCTCTCTCATTTTCATTCAGTTTCCATTCATATTTTTTCTTTTCTCTTAGGGATATGTAGACATGAATGCCTCAGCCACATCCACTCTTCTCGTGGCTTTGACAACTGTGTCATTGCCAAAGACATTTAAGGTTTGTTTGTGACTTCATTTGGATTGCATGATAACTTAAAATGATTATTCTGTAATAATGACTTTTTTTTTCATTAAGACGGCATTTTGAGTTTTACAATCATTGCTATAGTTTTCTGAAAATTCTTGTGTGCTTTATTTTTCATTATTACTTGTTAGTACTATTTTCATCTTTATTTTCAGTGTTACACATTGTAATTCCATTATAATAATAAAATGTTAAGGAGGTCATTTGATTTGATTTTTGTCTTTTCTAGAATGAATTGTCCGTCCTGCCTCAGGATCGAGTGCAGGATGCTCGGGCTAGTCTCCAGAGAATCCTCTTGCCTTTGGAGGTTGAGGGTGGGTGGAATTTACAGTCTCATGTTTCTTTTTCTATTTTTCTTAGCTGAATCAACACCCCATGAGAATTTTTGTAGTTTGGTATATATTTAATGTGAATGTTTTTGTTCCTCTTATTTTTTACATTGTCTTTGTATCAATGACAGTATCATTGTCAGTAACCTGTTTCAGTGTGACTATTTAGATGTGTATTTTTTTGTGTAGTTACTTTCTAAGGAGAATATTAGGCTTATTGTTGGAGGATGTGAAAAAAGATGTTTTTTTCCTCAAAATATTAACCCCTTCCTGATGGGTCATGCTGTCAGGTGTTAAAACAAACTGCCCGATCTGTGGCATGTGGCTTTACACCACGGCGGCACACCACAGTGCTACGAGCAGGTAATTTGGCTTGATGTACTGAATTCCCGTGCTCAAAGTCAGTGCGTTGCAATTGATCTCCAGAGTGTTTTTTTTTTTTTTCTTTTCTTTTCTTTTCTTTTCTTTTCTTTTCTTTTCTTTTCTTTTCTTTTCTTTTCTTTTCTTTTCTTTTCTTTTCTTTTCTTTTCTTTTCTTTTCTTCTTCTTCTTCTTCTTCTTCTTCTTCTTCTTCTTCACCCATCATCAAGGGGTTATAAGAAAGATAGAAAGAAAAAAATGTTTGAATAAGTATCTCAACTGAATTCATTATTTCTTCTCTTGCCCAGTCTTTTATTGATGTTTAAAAATCTGTTAATGATAACATGTTTAATAACAGGAACAAGTGGAACTGCATCCCTAGAGAACCCCTTGCTTCTGGCACAAGTCCTGGTGCTTACTTGCCTCAGGGATTCATGCATAAAACAGGTAGCAAGCTAATTGTAGGCAGTGCAACTTTAGACAAATTGAGATCATGTATATGGTAAAATGTGAAAGATGTGTGGATTTATTTGTCTAGATTATACAGCCTTTATTTTTAGTTATTTTTACTTATATTGAAGAGGTATGGATTTCTGTAATTATCATATGGTCTTGAAGAATCAAACAGAAATCATATAAAGTAACAAAAATGAAGGCGAAAATAGCATCAACAAAAGTTATGAGTGATTTCTTGTTGTAGAGAAAAATAGAGAAATAAAAATGTATAAATGAAGGAGGTCCTAAGCCATGTTATGTCATGTCATTGGTGTCAGTTACTAGGTTTGCCTGACCTCATTTCTCCATTCTTTAAATTATTGGGGAAAGTTTTTTCTGCAATATAATTAATGACATTACTGTCATTAATATTATTATTTACATTGTGATTATTTAATTATTAACATCACTAAAATTATTAACATCACTAATAGCAATAAAGATTATAAAACAAAAATCCTTTCAAGAATTGAGATTAGGTAAGACTAGTAATTAAGTCCTTGTTGACTAGGCACTTGTGGAGTGATCTGTGTGTAAACAAAATTGATAAAATGAAATCATAATAGATGTGGCACATATGTAAAAACCCTCCTGGCATAGATGGGTTAAGCCACATTTCTAATTTCTGCAGGCTGTCTTCATGCAACACCAGCTGAAGCCAGGAAGACTGAGCAGTAGAGATCCACTGACTTGCCTGGAAGAACACTATCTTTTATCAAGTTTTTCCAAGGCTCTCCCCCAAGGTCACACCAAACTGGAGGAGAACCTAGGAAATGAGAAATGGTGTGCAGACATGAAGATTCTCCCTCATGAGCAGGAGAACATGGTAGAGAGAGTTGTTTCATATGTCAGCCAGGTAAGAGATTGCAAGTGGGATGAGGGGAAAGGAGTATATCCATTTGATCACATGGTAGACAGTGCATAACATATGTTGAAACTGAACAAAGTTAAAATTTCAAACTTTATTTCAATTTCATTCATGCACATATTTTAACATCAAAGGGTAAAAAACATAAGGATGATATCTGACTTGACAAAGAGATTTGTTTTATATGTAGCTGTTGCCCATGGTCACTGAGGAAGGAGTGAGAGTGCAGGACTTGACTACACTACTGCATGCTTCGGAGTTGATTGTGTCTCTTCAGCTTTATCTGTCAGATGCAAGGTAAGTTAGGTGAGAGCTTCTGTATTTTTTTACTTTTTTTTATAGAGACTACAATCATTTCAATTTGTTTTGAGGTATATTGATTTTGGCCTTATTTCTTTTCACTATTTATTTATGAAGTTTGTGATTGTTCATAATTTATGATATGATATCTTTCATCTGGTTATATTTTTCTTGTCTTTCCAAGTTCTGGTGCACATCATTTATAAACACACTCAGGAATCTCAACTGAACTGAGTTTATGCAATCTTTTCAATTGCATATTCAAATGATAAAAGAATTCACTCTTTTCCTTATAAGTTTGACCATAAAGAGATTAGGAAAGTGCAATTTTTCTTTTCTTGGACTGTGAATACTTTGCTGGGCATTCTGCATTCTTGACAGATCAAGGAGTGTTTGGTTTCTGTTTCCTTGATTCACAGCATTCCTCCCCCTTTTGCTGTCTGTCATAACAAATATACCCCCCTCCTTTTTTACTATCTGTTCCTTATGTAGGGCAAGTGAGTTTTGTACTTTCACATTGTTTCTCCTTTTCTGTGTGGTGTCTCATCTTGATTCCTTCTGCTCCTTCAGTGGCCTGAGTATGATTCGGTTATCCTGGGGAGTGACTGTAGCAGCATTGACCATCTTTTAAGGTTGTGTTACTTAACCCCTTCATGACGGGTGACGCCTATAGGCATGAAAACAAACCACTCAAAATGTGGCGTGCAGCTGTACGCCACGGCGACGTGCCAAAGTACGGCGAGCCAGTGATACGGCCTGATGTACTGAACTCCCACACTTAAAGTCAGCACGCCGCCATTGATTGCCAGAGCGTAGATTTTTTTTTGTTTTTTATTTTGTTTGTTTTCTTCACCTGTCATCATTGGGTTAACAGGAGCAGTGGTACACTTACTCACCGCAACATCAAGCCGAATGTGCTGCTCCATGTGCTGTGGCACATCACCGCGCATACAGGTATACCCTGCAGACCAAGTAGTTTGTTATGACACCGGTACACGTGACCCATCTGGAACGGGTTAAACCAGACATCGAAGAAGCACTTTTGTTTGATGTCTTCCCTGTTTCTAGTCTGTAGATAGCATTGTGTGCTATGTTTCTTCACTGAATCATATCTCTTCACTATGCGTACCTCTGCTGCAGGAGACAGGGAAGAATGCTCTTCCCTCAGCTTCTCTTTTCACTAGAATCACTGCTAGTAGGAAATGAAGAGGTCCCAGCTCCCAACCAACTCCATTCAAGCTTGAGATTGACTGACATAGTACCTTCTTATTCACTCAATCCTCTTTGCTACAACTGTACTGTGACTGTCAAAAACTGGCAGGATTTTTTACTGTAACTTTTTTGTTATGAGTAAGATGTACTTAGTGTTCACTGATATATTCTTCAACCATGTCATTGGTCAATTTATTTGAGATATGGTAGAGAAGTATATATTTCTTGTGTTTATATTAACCCATTCACCACATGTGGCAAGAATAGATGCCATACTCACTTTGATACACGTTTATTTATTGTATATACACATAGATGGCTCTACAAGTTCTTAACCCAATGGCGCCGGGTGTACAAAAGAAAAAAAAAACAAACAAAGGCGGCGCGCCGACTTTGAGCGCGTGAGTAGGGGACATCAGCCCGAATCACTGGCTCGCCGCGCTTTGGCGCGCTGCCGGCTCGTTCGGTTGCACGCCAGCCTTTGAGCTCTTTGTGTACACGCCGATCGGTGTCACCCGGCACCAAGGGGTTAACCCAATGGTGCTGGGTGTACAAAAGAAAAAAAAAACTCTACGCTTAAACAAACAAAGGCGGCGTGCCGACTTTGAGCGCATGAGTAGGGGACATCAGCCCGAATCACTGGCTCGCCGCGCTTTGGCACGCCGCCGGCTCGTTTGGCTGCACGCCAGCTCTCGAGCTCTTTGTTTACACGCCAATCGGCGTCACCCGGCACGAAGGGGTTAATCACCAAATAGCCAGTTATCAAGAACTACCTATTTCACCTGTTTACCCTTTTCCTTCACTTTAGGAGAGGGTTTTTTTTGTATCATTTCATTGTCAAAAATATTCTAATGACAATTCAATAATCATAACATCAATAACAATAATAACAGTATCGAAAGCAAGGATATAATTTTTCCCGCCAATCCAATGAATTGGAAAATCAGGGTCGGTAACTAGGGCCTACTGATAGACTCCTTGCCAGCTGAGTACATGTGGAGCCATCTGTATGTAACAAAATTCACCAAAAACTACAGGGGACAGAACATAAATCCATGGTGAATGGGTTAAGTTCTTCAAATGCCTACAACCAAAATTTGCCTTAGCAGAGCCTGGAAAATCATACCTTTTTTGTAACTGGGCAGTTGTCTGATTCGGATTTGGGTGTGTGATATTTTTTCCCTTTCATTGGAACATGGGCATGTGATGGAAGGTGTCCCTCAATGTCTGTTCATACATACCATGATAAGTGATCATCCATCACTTGTTAGTGAATGGGTGATTGTCTTTAATATCAAAGTGATGCCATTGGGAGTGAATGGGTGTTTGTCTTTTATCAAAGTGATGCCATAGGGAGCAGCTTTTTATTCCCTTTGGTCTATTATTGACACTGATTCACCATGATGTTATGTGTGTATGGTGCTGTTGTCATTCCTCTTATGGCCAGAGTATGTATTCTCTTTCTGAGATTGTGTTTAACTGCCACTCACCAGTTTAGGACCAGTGGATTTTGTTGCAGTTGTGCTGTTGGTGTCTGGCTACTGTATTGCCATTGTACTAAAGATACTACAAGGGCTCATGACCATAAATGCATACATAACCTTCCTCTAACATATGGGTTAACCAGTTCATGATGAGTGCATGTACTGTCCCTTGTAGTTTTGCTCTGCTAATTTTGTTTGTGTAGATGGTTCCAATATGTGCTTTGTTACCACAGAGTCATATACCATAATAAGGCAGTATACATACACTCAGCATGTTAATTTTGAATCTATACAATTATATTGGCCTCTCTTTGCTTCTGTTTTATAGGTAAGAGCATTCTTGACATAGTTCTGGTTTTGACCTTCCTCTCTGTAGTGACTTATCATGTGTTTGTGATTTATTTTCCTTTTTTGTGAGGGTGTGTTCTTCAGTGAGCACATCATTCCCTTGTCCTGTATTACCCTAATTTAAGGTGTTATAATTATCCCTCTTTTGTTGGACAAAATAGAACTGATGAATGGGGAGGAGTGGTTTGTCATGGAGTTTGTCAGGATGGATTTTTTTCCTTATTTTGATCTTTCATGGGACTTAGATGCTCTGTGCAACTGCAGTAATTGCATGAATTCATCTTATTTGAGATTTCTGATTGGGTTCATACCTGATTGCACCTGCTAACCTGTGGAATTACACTAGACAGTTATGAACGATGATCATTTTGTGACCTCCAGTATGTAAAACAGTTGGAATTAGATCTACACAAT